TTGTAATTAAAGGCTGAGTTCAACATTGGGAGATTTTATATCATACAATGTTCACTTTCCTAAGAAACTATTCTCCAGCATTCACAGTGTCACAATGAACAAGGAAATAAAAAAAAAACATGATTGTTATGAAACCTTGACTGAAATTGAAAAAGATATTGAAAAGGTTGTCAGTTTTATGGAAAGAAAGCTAGCATTCATCTATGGCAATTGCAATAACACACTCAGAGTTAAAAAGTGTCTTTTGTTTAAAACATTTCACAAACAAAAGCAAAATGTGGAAAAAGTGGAGAATGACATTAGAAGAGAAAGAATCATCATGCAACAGTGATTAAAAAGTTCTCATTACATTGTTTTGCATACGTGGCATACTTAATTTTAATGAATTTTCATTAACATTACATAATTTATTTCTTTTTCCTTAAAATCAATTCTGTTATATTTCACTCACCATTAGTTTATTTTGTTTACTGTAAAATATTGAAAATAATCCTTAAACCTGATTTCAGTTCTTTTATTTTAATCTAAATATAACCCCCTCATATCCAGACTTTGTAACCAATTCCTCATATCCGGAAGGCCTTTTTAGTCTGATTGTCACAGATTCTATTGTATTTACACAATGCATTACATGAAGACAATATAAATGAATGTAAAATACATGCTTATGAATAATAGATGTCATATTAAAGTCATAAAATTTATTTCTTTTTTGTTACATTTAAATCATATAATTTGTAGAAAATAAATATCAATAAGATCTTTGATAATCCAACTATGGGGGTATTTTAATAATGACACTTTAGTTTTATGAAATGAATTGACACTGTCCTTGTTAATAAAATATCATCTAAAAGTATGTTGTCTTGTTTTTTTTTTTTTAAATCTACTACTAGAAAAAAGTAAAAATCAATAAAACAGCTTTAACTACATTTTAATCTCATTTTCTTAGCTATTTCTATATAGCCACTTGTTTATATTACTCATTCAATTTTATAAAATACTTCTGCCTTAGCCTTAGACCTGTGTATGTTCTGTGAAGAGTATGACGCACATCCCCGAGTGTGTGTGTGTGCATATATATATATATATATATATATATATATAGAAAAAAACATTTTTATGTTTCTACATTCTTTTTATAGATACAAATATTTAAGTAAATGCTGTTTATAATAAACTGTATTAATAACATTTACTGGCCTGAATGTCCAAGAAATTTTCATAGACAATATTTGTCCCCCGACAGGAATCGAACCTGTATCCTATACGGAACCGTCATATAGCCTGACGTGCCTTAACCGATTGAGCCACAGATTAGCATTCGGCTAGCAAAGTCGATTTTACTGCTTTTAAACTACAATCTTCCATGAATCTTTCATGTACATTCATATCTGCTCAATGCATATCCAAACGTAAACAAATGATGTCACACATTATGAAATAGACAAAGTCTGACAATTATTTTAATTTATTTTTATTATAAACAGAGCATTTACTTAAATATTGGTATCTATAAAAAGAATGTATAAAACATAAAAATGTCTTAAAATAATTGTCAGACTAATCTACCATGGTATTTGAACAGCAATACAATGGCATTCAAATTGTTTTCTTGTTTTTTACTAATATTATACCAAGAGCCATGTTAATAAACATGGCAACAATGATATAATCCCTGAAAAGAAAACTGAACCTCTTACTTTTAATCAGGTTTGCCCAGCATATCCTCAAAATGGCTTAAATTGAAAAATAAAATGCCTGAAAACATAAAAAAAAAAAATAAAAAAAAAAAAATGGCAGCCAGAATATTTTGAAGATGGTGCCAAAAAACTTGTTGGTACTCACAACCTCTAGAAACATGAAGAGTTGAGACCAAAAATGGTTTCCGAACAAAAACCTACTAACCTAATTTCTATTTAATGCCAGACCTTGGCAAATTTTTGAAGATATTAGAGTTTATAAATAATGATTATATCACATAGAAAAATGATAGAATACTCAACAGCTAGAAATTCCCAGACTTTTACAAATTTGCAGGAATGTCCCTGATTTTTTTCCAACTGATTTTTCATTCCCTGATATTGGACATCCTGTATCTCTCTCTATATTTCTCCTAAGAGTTTGCTTTATAATCTGGTTACCATGCGAATAAAATATAGAAAGAGACATACTTGTTGGAATGCCTGAGATTATCAATGCTTAGGCCATCTTTCTCCAGCATTTCACGATACCAAGTATGGGCTGAAATAAAAAAAAAAAAAAAAAAAAAAAGAAGGAATATAAGTTAGCAGGAAATATGGAATCAAAGTGTGTTTTAAAAGTTAAATTTATTGGGGTTAGATTGTAGACTTAAATGTTGTACCTAATGATGGAAGAAAAAGAAAGTGTTGTGTGGCTGGTGTATACATTGTGAGATAAAAACATGTGTCTCCTGAAATGCCTACAACAATATGGCAGACTGTGTATGAGTCCATGTAAAATGTAATGAAACAACAAGAACCAATATATATGTACAAACAAATGATAATGTATTAACAACAAAAGGGTTACAAGTGACAAAAAATAATTTTTAAGTAACAAATGAATGTGGAAACTTTTTGGTCCAAAGTATATGGAGTGAGTGAATGTCCTTACGTGTGTGTGTGTGTGTGTGTGTGTGTGTGTGTATGTATGTATGTATTATTCATGCGTTTCCCTAAGGGAACACGTTATAATCGTGTTCTTCCACAAGAAATTTACATGTTGACGTAAAAAGTAAGAAGAGAATGCAAAAAAAATAAAGTGGAGTATTTATAGTGCCGGAAAGTGTCCCCTAGTAGCGGTTTCAAAAATTAGGAGGAGGTAACCTCCACTAAAGGATATTAATCTTATGCAACAGATAATTTATGTTTTTTTATACACTTTAAACTGTCATAACATTATACAGTGAAAATTTCAGATCAAAAGTCAATAACCATATGTAAGGATACTATAATAATATAAAAATATACAAATATATTACACACTTTAGCAGCTAAAGGAGAAAGAAAGATAAAAAGATAGCAGGGCTGAAAGTGCATTAGAACAAATCCAGACCCACACTCTCTGGGACAACCCCTCCTTGACATCATATCTTCAAGGGTGTAGCCCTACTCACCATGCTTGGCCAATTGCAAGTTGCTGAGACTATTTAACCCATAATTGGAGGTTTTGAAATCAGAGTTGTCCTTCTAGATTGGGTCCTATAGACTTGGCAACCAATCTTTCCTACTTAACCCATAGCTGGAGGGAGAAGAGATGAATTCATACCTTTCCCAAGGGTATTTGTGCATGTGAATGTAATGAATTTGGCTGGAATCCAAACTTGGCTCTCAGATTCTCTAATCGGAACTGCTATCCATTACTCCACTGTGCCTCCATGATTGATAAACTCATTGCTATTTTTAAATTTCCTGATTTATAATCCCCCCCTCCTCCTAGTTGGTCCTTTAGGATGCACATTCAAGCATACCTTGCTCGGTGCTTGGACCCTGCTTAGAGATAATGTTTCTGGCCCATGGAGAATTGCTGCCCGATTTCTGGGTAAACATTGTACAGGTATTCTGTATTCCTCTAACTTCTTTCCAAATCTGGATTGGATGCCTCTTCATCAAGGGTGCTGGAGGTAAATGTTTCTCTGGGCTGGGATTATCTACCTGATAGAGATCTAAACCTTAGAGCAACTCCAAAGGAGGCTATCACATCAGCATGTACATAGAGTTACTGTACTGCTATTTTGTGAATGGGATCTAGACTAGCATTTTCTGGTGGAGTCTCTCAATGCCATGATGAAATGTACAGATTTAACTGCTTTCTGGTGACTAAACTGGAAGGGATTTTTTTTTTCTACATAAACTAATTGGGGTTTACTGTCTTGTTATCTCTATTCTTCACTACCCAAACCAAAAACAAATAATGATAAAACTTACAGAAGAACCAAACCCAGATGAACCATAATGTAAACCCCAATTTCTCCATCTCCTTCTCTAACATAAGGGCACTACAGTCCAACTATCCAGAGCTCAAAACTACATCTTCAAGAGGTCAAGTCTGAACCTCCTGTTCATGTCTGAAACTTGAAAGCTAGTCTATTCCAATTCAGGACATTACAATCCTGGCTAATTATCCCTACTCACAAAAGATAACCCTCTAAATAGACATGTCTTTGCACTTGGGTTCTATGTCAAGGATGGGTTCTCTGCAGCAGAGACTTAAAAAAAGAGAATCCTGACTTCCCATTCATGTGCTTTCAAGTAACCCTCATTCATAGCATATCCTTTGTTTTATGATTTATCACCCACAAGATAATGCAACAATAGTGAAGAAGATTGATGGCATCCTCTCCATTCATCCCTCAGCGAACATTCACCTTTGTGGGGAGTTAAACATTTACCACAAGGAGTGCCTAGTTGACGCAAACAGAACTTATAAAGAGAGTAAATATTGTTAGGGTTTTTTCTCCATAGCTTACGAGCAGACCTACATTGTAGACAAGCCTATTTGTTCTCTATACAGCTGGGTATCATGCTAACATATTAGACCTGCTCCTCACCTCATGCCCTGATCAATGTTTCACAGAGATTTTGTTTCCCTTGGGCATGTTGGATCATTCTCTGATCTTTGCCAAGGTTGATGCAAAACCAAAGACCTCCACAGATGTGTTGTTTCATAGGACACTATCAATAATTCAAAACTGACTGGGACAGCCTCAGATCCTACATTGCAGAAGCACCTCTCTCAGGCTTCTTCAAAAAAATGGAACTCTCCAGCACTGAATGCTTCATCCCTCATAAAAAATACCAACAGCAGCCAAATAAACATCATTGGTTCACATGTGAATGTGTTCCAGCCATGGCAACTATTACTAACACCATCTCTATAAGGGAACGGTATTGAAAAACCCTTGCTTCATTCAGAACTGCACACAATCACTGCAAAAGAGTATTAGATCCTGGAACTTGGATCTTAATTTCTGGTTTGGTTTATTTTGTTTAATGGCATATCAACCTCAATGGGTTATTTAATGCCGACAACATTTTCAGGATAGATTCGTATGAATAGAATATGTATTCTTTGGTTTAGATTGGTCTAGTTTATTTTGTTTTATGGCATATCAACCTCAATGGGTTATTTAATGCTGACAAAAATTTTTATTGCTGGTAATAATTTTTAAAAGAAAGTATTATTGGTAATAGTTAACTATTTGCCCATAGCTGGGACCCTAACAGATGCTACCACTCCTTAAGATTGTTTGATTTGGTTTGGTTTGTTTTACGGCATATCAGCCTTAATGCTGACAACTTTTTTTCCTGGTAATATTTTTGTTTTGTCAAAAATTTATTTCTGGTAATATTTTTTTTCCTTCAAAAATTTATTTCTGGTAATAATTTTTTTACAAAGTATTTCTGGTATTAAAACCTATTTTTACACTTTTATAATGCTTTTTACCTCAGTTTCAGGGTTAACTATTTGCCCATAGCTGGGACTCTAACAGGTGCTACCACCCCGGGTCAGGGTGGACCTGGGAACACCAGCAATTAAGAGGTGGTTCCACGCTCCTCAAAACCTCCTGATCAGAGGTCTTGCTGCTGGACGTAGTTTAACGTCTTACCCGGGACGTGGATGTAGTTTAATGTCATACCCAGAATGATTTTTAAGATTGTTCCTATACCTCACTAAAGGATTATGTTCTCAATGAAATTTATCAAGGAAGAGAAAAATACATGGACTTTATATTCATTATTAACAAAACTTACCTTCATTTTCAGGGTACATGATATCATACCCAGGGAGAGGCATCACAACATCATGGATGGTGTAGTTGTTAATGTTTTCAGCTGTGATAACATGTGGACGTTCCCTGGAACCATCTGAAGTCCAGAAAGTTATATATTTTGGAATATTATCATAAAAACAGATTCTCTCATTATTTCTTAAATATTACTCAATGGACAAGTTTCTTTGATATATAATAATAATAATAATAATAATAATAAAATTAAACAGGAGTAGATAGGTTTGTCTATCATCTGGTTCACACTCCTCCCAAGAGTAGAGGTTTATCCCCAGTTTCCTTGTTTCAGATTGGGTTTCCAGTTCCTTTCAAAGCCTACTTCAACTCGACTTCTAACTTTCTAAACTCTGAAATTTTATAAACTTATTTTTATTTTTTTTCCTTCATCAAAGTCGATAGGGTCACCTATCTTCTCATTCGTACTCCTTGTCTTTTGAACAGGAGTAAAACTTAAAACTACCATAAAATTTATTTTTATATATATATATATATATATATATATATATATACGCAAATTATTAATGATTTGTTGTTTGCTGCTGCTCTTGTAGCAACATCCTTTGAGGAGGCCCAACATCTGATAAATCGTTTCTCTGCTGCATGTAAAGTCTTTGGTCTTACACTTAGCATAAAGAAAACTGAAGTAGTGCACCAACCTTGTCCTACTCCGAAGCAACTGCGTGGTAAGAAACAAAAATCACCAGTCCACAAATTTCCAGAGAGACCATTGAAAGTAGAAGTCAAAGCCCTGAACTATGTAAAGTCTTTCACCTATCTTGGTAGAAAAATCAACTACAGTGGAACTTTATATGATAAAATCATGCATTGGATTGCTAAGGCTACCAGTGCTTTCAGCAAACTTTGCCATCGCTTGTGGAATGAGCGGGGTATTCGACTGGATACGAAAATTCGGGTTTACAGAGCTGTTGTACTTGCCATCCTTTTGTATGGCTCAGAGTGGTGGACTCCATACAGGTACCATATACGCCAGCTGGATGTTTTCCATAAAAGCTGTCTGTGTACAATTTGTGGAGTTAACCTTCAAGATAGGACATCTAATGTAGACCTGTTTAACAAGTGTAATATTGGAGGGATTGAGACTTTTCTCATACAGTCTCAGTTATGATGGACTGATCATGTCTTGAGAATGTCTGATAACAGGATACCCAAGATCCTAATGTACAGCCAGTTAGATCAGGGCTACAGGAATGTAGGACGCCTATGGCTAAGATACAAAGACAAGCTGAAAAGCAACTTGTCAGCTGTCAATATACCACATAACACCCTTGAGCGCTTAGCCTTGGAGCAGATAGAATGGAGATCAATGTGTTTTAGTGAACTCAGGCAGTTTTCAATCTGCTTGTCTGAATCATTTTCAAGAAGTGAGAGCAAGAACTAAAAGGTCAGCCAATCTAACAGTGATCTCATCTCACAATCCTCACTCTTGCTCCATATGTGGCCTCCTTTGTAAATCACTACTTAAGATTATCGCACAAAATTTCATAACTGAATCAACTAAGCTGTCAGATCCTCATATGTTGAATCCGACGGGAGAGTCCATTGTATATATATATATATATATATATATATATTTAGAAATTTTATTGAAATATATTTTATTGAACTCAACCAACAAAACCTGTTTGATCACATTTTTTTTTCAGTTTGCGTATAAGCATTTTTGC